CCGCCCACTCTCCACGCGCTTTCCTGCAGAGCAAGATGTCGCCGCCGGCGCGGCGGCCCGCGCTCCTGCAGCAGCCGGGAGGGCAAGGCGCCGCCTCAGTCCCAGGAGCAGATGCCTCCCGCGCGCGCTCCCGGGCCCCGGGCCCCGGCCCCCGCCCAGCTCGGTGTGGGCGGTGGCTTCGGCGCTGCGGGCGGGGACGCGGGCGACTCGGCTGGCCCGGTCCCCCGCCGCCGCAGGACGCAACCGGGAACGAGGCCGCGCCCCCAGCCCGCGACGTTCTGTGTTCTCTTCCCGACACCTGCGCCGGTCGCGCTCCCCAGAAACAGCCCCAAGTCCGCACGCTGGCTCTTCTCTCTGTTCACAACACCTGTTACTCTGGCCTTAACCCCTTTTCAACGCTTTGGTACAACTCCTTTCTCGTCTACACCCCGAACGTGTTTGAAGCTATTGACTCAAACTGCCAAGGCATCCTCTCAGAGACTCGTTTGCACAGAAAACCTTGGCTGACTCAGTTACATTGTGCTAAGTATTTAACGTTGCTCTGGTTGTTACAGTTTCCAACGTGGCCCCATGCAGATTCTTCCCCTTTATTAAAAGGAGCCTGGATACATTAGTAACAAAAAAGTTATGAAAGCAAAGAAGTTCGGGGAAATCAAAACATTAGCAATTGAAAAAAAGGCCCGGGCCGCGATGAGTTACCCGGTTCAGGCTTCCATCCTGGGTTTCCACCGACTCACGGCTCTTTTCCCTTCTGTCCCCTGTCTCTGCATCCTGCCCCGCCCCCCATCATAGCCCAAAGATCCAGAGGTAGACGCGCGGCCCAAGCCTGTTCTGAGAAGTTGAAGTTAGTTGTCCAGAAGTCATTAACATTCATTGTTAATGGCGGTTTTCTGGAGAGAGACACTTGTTTCCTCTTACTTTTGACACCCCCCGTGGTGGCCCTGACTTCTCCCCTCCCCAACTTTACCTTCTGTAGCTTGAAATACCCCAGGAAACTTCTAATGTATCCCCCTTTTATTTAAACTGGTTTCCCATGGTTGCAAACAAAAGAACCTTAATAAATATATTAATAACGTGGGGGAAATGACGATGTGCAGTCAGAACACAATCTGTTTCAGTTAGCTTTGGTTGCATAATTAACCACCTGTTGTGGTTTAAAACAACTACCGTGTATTATTTCTCACGATTCTATGAGTTAGCTGCTTTAGACTCACTTAAACAGTTGCGTTCAGCTGGAGGGAGAGCTGGGCTGGAAGGTTCAAGATGGCCTCACTCACACACCTGGCACGGAGGCTGGCTGTGGGCTGGGCTGTCTCGATCTCCTCCTTGCGGTCTCTTCCTCCAAGAGGTTAGCCTGGCTTCTTCACCTGGCCCTTTCTTCCAAGAGGTTAATAGCAGAAGTTGGAAGGCCTCTGAAGGTCATATACATCTCTTCTGCTGCATTCTAATGCTCAGATAAGTCACAAGGCTAGCCCAGATCCGGGGAGAGAGAAATTCCACCCCTCCACGGGAGTAGCAGCAGCAAACTTACATTGCAAAGGGGCATGCACACTGGGTGGAGGAATGTGCGGCTATATCTTAAAATCACAACCACACACGCACAAAGTATATAAGGTATGATACCACTTTTTGTATAACTGAAAAATAGGGTTAGGAATGATTTTTGTTTTGTTTTACTGTTCCCTATTTTGCACAGTTAAGTGTACTACATTCATTCTAATTTTGTAAAATGTTATTATTAGTCAGGGCTCATCCACTTGGAAGTGACAAAAACCCGATTCAACTAGCTTAAACAGAAAGAATATTTATTGGCTCCAGCAGACCTAGACCCGGGGATCCATCAATGTCACTGGGACTCGACTTCTTTCTCTTGGTTTTTTGACCTCTGCTTTCCTGGGGGGTGAGGGTGGGAGGAGGGCTGGCCTCTTCTCCCACTGCAGTGGACTTCCTGCACACAGCTGGAGAAAGCGCCACTTGTACCCCAAGCTTATGTTGTCTTCGCTGAGGACCACCAGCAAAAGAGAACTTCTTGGTGTTCCAATTATAGAGACAGATTCTTCAGTCACATGCTTAGCTGTTGCCGGGGGTAGGAGGTGATGTGATTGGCCAGGCATGGATCATGTGCCCATCCCTGTAAATGGAGATAGGGTGGGAGGCTGAACTTGACAGGAGAACCACAGGGAACAAGGAAGAAATGGCTTCCCAGAGGAAGGAGCGGTAGGCAGACAAAACAGCATATGCCCATCTATATATTCATCCTTGTGTTTGGAAGAATAACAGGATGGGAAAGATCTCGTCCGACAGCATTTGTGAGGGGAAGTCTTCTGGGATCTATTTGACCATACGTAAAATATGGCTGTTAAGAAACTGAACACAATCATAAGCAGTAACTACAAAGTTGTATTTCTATATCAGGGGAGGTAAACCTTTCCTCCAGAGAATCCTCTGTTCATACGGCACTGAAGGACTGCCCGTGTGGGTGACGGTATCAATTTGTTCTGCAGGTAGAATCAGGACCAACGAGCAGAGATTACAAGACACAACTGTGGCCAGTGTTGTGGACTTGCAACTGGTTTCTGAAGCAAGAGGGAAACTTTAGGACTGGCCTAAGGAGCTCACAGAACAAACAGAGAGAGTAGAAAATGGGCAGGCACCAAAGGGACCTCAGAGGCCGGGCAGCAGGGTCCCCGCATGGAGAGGAGAGGACTTTGGTAGAAGGAGCCTTCAGTGAGAGGCAACCCTCAGCGGCCCCCTCCATGAGGGAGAGTCGAAGCCAATAGAAAGGAAGGTCAAATGGCGGACTCCTGAAAGATCATAGAAAGATAATAGAGATTTGCTACCTAGACATACAGATTCCATATAAGAAGGCTGCTACTGACTAAGTCTGGCAGCACTGGGATGGCAGCCTCACAAAGTGGCGAACCCCGCAGGCTGTCCTCCTTCTGGGCTGCTGGGCTGAACTTCCTGCACTCCCTACTTCCAGAGCCCTGCCACCTGCCGCCCCTGGCACTGTCACTCCCTCCCCTCAGGGTGCCAGCCCATCCTGTGTCAATACGTATCCTTCTGAGCCAAGGGAGGTGATCTTCCAAGAGCTTCCCTGACTTCACATTTCCTTCCTCCCAAGTTGTTCTTTCCATGTCATATGCTCACCTCCTGCCTCTCCTGACCCCTCCCAACCGGTGTTCCCTCCGTCAGCCTCCGTCTTCCCATTCGTCTCTGGACTTCGCCTCTCTCTGTCTCTGTCTCTGTCTCTCTCCTCCCTCCCTCCCCCTCCCTCACCTTTTCCCTCTCCTTCTCTCTCCAAACACAAACAAGACTCAGGAGTCCCCTATCCCCTCTACCCTTTTTATAAACCTATCTATCTCCCAGTGTGGAAGCTACAGATGCTATATTTCCCCAAGCCTCCCTTGCAGCTAGAGTAGCCCTGAGACCTAAACTCTGCTAATCAGATACTCCTGCCCCCAGGCTTAGAATCAGGGTCTGCTGGTGCAGAGAAGCAAGGACCAGGAGGGTCTCTCTTTGGCTGAAATGCCAGTTTCAGAACCGAGTTCCTGGAGCAGCAGTGACCCCAGTGCTTGCAGAAATGCCAGCGTCCAGAGCCAATGGTGTCAGCGATGCAAGCCCCGCCCCATTGGTCTCCACTGATGCTTTTCCTCTCAGACCCCCAGACCTCTTCCAGAGATTATGGAAGCCACCCAAGTGACTTTTAAATATGTGTCTTTACTGCTGAAATGAGCAGAGTTGATTTCTCTGAGAGCGATCAAGCACTTCGTTCGATACACTGGTCTGTCCTGACTCCTTCTTCCTACGCGGGCCTCTCACTGCTGCGGCCTCTCCCATTGCGGAGCACAGGCTCCGGACGCGGAGGCTCAGCGGCCATGGCTCACGGCCCCAGCCGCTCCACGGCATGTGGGATCTTCCCGAAACGCGAACCCGTGTCCCCTGCATCGGCAGGCGGACTCTCAACCACTGCGCCACCAGGGAAGCCCCTCCTCTTTCTTTCTTTTCAATTCAGTCTGTCAATATTTTGTTGAGGACATCTATATTCATTAGGGATAGGGCCTGTAATTTTTTTTCTCATGGCATTTTTGTCTGGTTTGGGTATACGGGTAATGATGGCCTCATAAAATGAGTATGGGAGAGTTCCTTCCTCCTTTTTTTTTGGAAGAGTTTGAAGAGGACTGGTACCAGTTCTTCTTTGACTGGAAGAATTCACCAATGAAGTTGTCTGGTCTGGGCTTTTGTTTGTTTGGAGGTTTTTGATTACTGGTTCAGTCTTCTTACTAGCAATTAGTCTGTTCAGATTTTCTATTTCATCAT